GATGGAGGGGGGAAGAAGGAGATGGGGGGAGAAGACGGTGATGGAGGGGGGAAGAAGGAGATGGGGGGAGAAGACGGTGATGATTTGGGAAAGGAGGGCATAGTTGGAAAAATGAACCTCTTAATGGTTTAGTGAGGTTTCGGATGCAAAATGGTTAAGAGCCAATTGTCACCATTAAGAGGTTCTATTTTTTTGCCAAACAGCCTCTGCCTCTTAGCGATTAAGAGGCAAACAAACAGCCCCTTATTGACTTATTTCGGTGTGATACCGGTAATAAACATTTTTGAGTGTTTGGATAAACAACTTATACCGATATCAAACCGGTAATAAGAAGTTTTTGAAAAAATTAAACCATTATAACTTATAATAAGTTGATAAGGACATTTATAGAAAAATATAAGTTATTTCAAATAAGTAATCTCAAACACCCATAAGTTGAAAATTTATAGAATAATCATCATTCTCTATAATCCAATTATAAATTTCAAAATCGTTGAATTAAAATTAATTAATTTAAAGTTTATAGTAAGTTTTCAGATAAATTTAATTTTAAATAAAAATTCGCATATCAAGAACTTATACAGTATAGGTTGTTACCCACACCAAATTATGACACCCATGGGCCACCACCTCACTTACCACACCAACGATCATCGTCGACACCTATTAATCAATTCCCCTTGGCCCCGTCCAATCTCGTTACTCTTGATGTCTGCCTCTTTTGCATGTCGTTCACTCCTGATGCCCCCTTACATATGGGTTACGGGACGTGGTGGCTTCCTAGCCCTATCCTTCACCATCCAATTGTCCATGCTAACCTTTTATTTTTCTTTCTTTATTAAAGTTCTATTATTTATCTATACTATATTATAAAGCATTTGATAAAAACTCTTAAAAACAAATTTTTATGCATAAAGTACTGTTTGTTGATTGATATTACTTAAAATTCAAGATTACAAGTTGATTGTGCGTAGGTACAACTTATTAAAGCTTCATATTCGAATTCGTATAACTAACTGTGGATAAACATAATCAAATACATGATAAACATCATTTTAAATATAAAAAATCTAAAATATAATTAAGATAATTATTGAGTTCTAGCAGAATACTTAATTATTATTTTAAAGAAATTATTTTATTAAACCAAAAATAAATTAGTTTGTTTTTAAAATTCAATTAAATTATAATAAAAATTTGAATTAAAAAAATTACACAAAAAAAGAACTTTTAAATAGTTAATTTGATACTAATATCGCTTATTTTTATCAAAATTTTATAATATTTTCAAATTTATATTTCATTTAAAAATAAAAACATTTTTTTAAAACCACATAAAATCGTATTATAACATTGATACACCCAAAATATAAAGCGACACATTAAAATTAAGATCATCTCGCTGCATTACGTGAGTACCTTCTAGTTTTATCAAATGGCCTTTGACCTAGCGGTTAAGTCTTTGAACTCTTAGCAAGTCAAGTGGTCAAACTTTACCAAATATGAGGAAGGTGTGTGAGTTTATCTGTTCTATTCTGCTGTATATAAATATTATATACTTAAAAAAAGTTTTAATTTTTTAAAACTTAACGTCAAATCTTTATATTTATGTGTTTTGATCACCAAACATACAAAAATAAGATCGTTTAATATTTGTTTGGTGATAAAAATATATTTATCGTAGATAAGTGGTCCTTTCAGGCAATATTTATTTTCCAGATCATATTTTATATATTTATTAATATAATGATTTAAAAAAATTATAGACGAGTCAATAGAGATTAGAATCCGATCTAACATGTTTTGATCCATCTGGGAAATTTATTTGTTATCCAACCTGTATATTTTATGACACATATAGTAACCTGATAAAAATGTCACGATTTGTAAACTTGAAATTGTATACTGATATTCTCATAACAGTATTAATAATACATGTCGTTCTTTTATCGTTATGAAATGAAAGATACAGATAGAAAACAATATGATCTGTTCACAATGTAATACATGGAGGGGCACTTTACAGTGATGATGGGCTCATTATATATAACTATAGACTTATTAAAAAAACAGTAGTTAACAAGTTCTCAATCATCATTATTATTAGGACAATCTCGAGAAGAGGTTATTATTGCTACTTTTTTAAATCTAATTTTACATTTAAAAAATATCAGACATACAACAATTCGGGATCGATCCCGGTAGTAAAAAATATTAAGACCCGGTTAAAGGTACTTGTAACCAGTCTCTCGGCCCAAACCGGTTCTATATTAAAGAAACATTTTCTTTTTATATTTTTTTTGATAAATTTTAAAAAATATTTTAATGTTATTCTAATACATTTTGAAATATCTAATTAGGGCAATCAAATACACTTAAAAATACTTTTTTTGTAGTTTTATAATTGATTTTCAATCAAATACACTTAAAAATTACGTTTTATTATAGTTTTATAATTGGTCTTTAATCAAATACACTTAAAAAATATGTTTTATTGTAAAATTTGTAATTTGATTTTCAATCAAATACATTTAAAAAGCTAAAAATACATTTTTTTTGAAAAAAATCAGGCCAGTCCCGGGTCAGACCTATAACCGGTCCCAAACCGGTCCCGGGCCAGACCCATTTGACCATCTCTAGACAAGACGTAGAGATGCACAAGACTTGGGTTTTTTTCGGGCCTGGGCCTTCCAAACCCATTTTGCATGAGCAAAAAAAAGATCCAGCCGTTTTTAGGCTTTGGTCTGTAAGATTGACTTTGGGGTTAAAAAAGGTCCAATCAATTTTCAGTTTTTTCAGTTCGAGCCTAAGCCTCGGGCTACCCCCAAACCTTCTGCTTGATCAATCTTGGAGGCTTGGCCTAAACCAAGTTTCAAGCTTCGGTATTTTTATGCATCTTTAGGAAGACACATAACAAGTAGCATAATCGTGATGCTTAATAGCACAAACACAAAGTGATACAACATAGGGTAATCTATCACATTTCAATCAAAATCGATATTTTGTATCAGTCTTCCAACATTTGTAACTTAACTAAATCACTTATCGAGAGATTCAAAAAATTTGTAGTAATCATCATTATTAATTATTTGACAATATGTTAAAAAATTTACATATTTTAAAATAAATTGAAAAATGAGGAAAAACACATAGTGAAACAAATACTGTTTGTTTTCACTATGTGTTTCTTAGGTAAACTTTGTGTTCATGCCCTTGAAAATCATGTAGAGGTGAGCATGGGTCGGGGCGGGGCGGGCCCCATTCTTTTTGAACCGATCGGGTTTTCGGGATGATATCAGAACCCAAAACCCCGATTTTTTTAAAAGATAACCTACGGGTTTCAGATCTGGTCAGGTTCGGTTTGGGTCGGGTTCTGGGGCCATTTTTAGTTTTTCGCCACTTTCATAACTTTGCTTCCTGTGAACGTCTATTCCAGCTTCCAGACCTATGATCGCATATTCCCATTATCCCAATATGTAACATTAAAAATCGAAAAACTGAAGTCAAGAAAATGAACAAACAACTAACTATTACGAACTAAATGTTCAAGTTCAACAAAGTGTCAAAGTTTATCGTCAATCAACAGACCAATTAACCAAATTAGGAAAGTTTACCAAAATACCATTAACAATTTAACAGTTAACATCAAGATCCAATTTCAAATACCATCAAATCATCAAATCTTCAGTCTTCATTCTTCAATCAGAACCGAACTATCATCGTCACGGTCACGGACAACACTCCAAAGTTCTTAAATTTGTCAATTCTGCAAGTTCATAAACAAATTAAAAAGTGTAAAGAAGTAACCGTAGGTGATAGCTATGAATCATACTCAAAAGTCTCAAATTAATTTAATGTTATTTGTGCCTTTCTCAAACTTCTCGATTTTATCTAAATTTTCTTCAACCGCAATAGGCTGAGTAGGGCCCCTTAACCAATCTTGCGTACACAATATTGCTTCTAATATTTTAGGAGTTAGAGAACTCCGAAAATTATCCAACACCTTCCCACTTGTACTAAACTCAGATTCAGATGCCACGACTGAAATTGGCACAAGAAGGATATCTATAGCAACTTTTGAAAGTACAGGAAACCTTTGACT